CGGGGGCTCCCTCCGGAGGTGGCTGGCCGCGCATGCGCGTTGCCCCGCTTCCTCGTCACCCCCTCCGCTTACCCTTGTAGCCGCCTGAGTAGAAACTGCCCGGCCAGCAGCGCTGGGGCCCCCGCTGGCCCTCGGGCCTTCGCTTCTTGCCTCCCTCCCCGCTTTGTCCCGGCCGTTGGGTGCTGAGCGATGGCCGCTGCCTGGGGAAGGGTGGCGGCGGGGCTGTCGCGTTTATTTAGTTTAATTTTTGCTCGTCACTTCGTGGTCTTTTTACCTGCCCTCGTGTGATCTCCCGGGGCTTGTTTTCTGTGTGCACTTGCAGGTGTCGGAAAGTCTTCACTCGTTCACCTCTTGTGTCAAAACCAGGTGCTGGGAAACCCGTCCTGGACCGTGGGCTGCTCCGTGGATGTGCGAGTAGGTGACATGCCCGATGTTTTTAAAGTGTGAGGGAAGAGAAGGACATGGACCTTTTTTTAAAACATTTTCCTTTTCATTACTTATCACCCCAGAAAGAGATCTGTTTCAAGGGTTTTTTTGCTGAGCATGTATACTTGTGAAGCAGGTAGTAGTAAATGCAAGCCAAGCACTTGTGTGAGCAAGTTTTGACCTTAAAAGGTTGTCGAGAGCAGACAAGATACTTGTCATTCATAGCGCCTCTCCTTACTGCAGTGGCCACTGGCGTGTTACAAGTCACGGAGTGGCCAGCTTAAGTCAGAAGGTACCGAATTTAAACCACGCTTCCCTGCGGAACAGTTAATGTACAGCTAAATTGTCAGCCAACCATATTGGGGGACAATTTCCTTGCTCAATTTGAGGGTACTGACCATCATCATCATAGCATTGCTTCTCTTCTTGTCTGCTCATTGCAGGACCTTATTGTCAGAGGAATGAGTATATTCATTTAGCACATTTTTGGCCCAACCTACAGTTGTCATGGGATGGTGATAAATGCCACCTTCTTTCATCACACTTTGCCGCGTTCTGCTCGAAATACATTGCCATAGGTTAGGAATATCTTTCCAAAATTTGGGTGAAGAAACATGGCAGTCCTGTTTGACTGTGCTGCAAAACTGCCTAGCAGATCCAGGGGCAAAAATTGTTGATTGATTACTTCAGCTGAGATGTCAGTGAGAATTTGGAGAGGAAATAGATGGTATCAGTTGTAATCTGATGTGGTCACCCATGTTAACATTCCTGCAGTACTACCATGTGGCTTTTAACAACTTGACTTTTGCATCTGCTTTAGCAGCGTGCTATTTCTAAGCATGTCATAAGGCATTATATTTGTTAATTGAGGTGGAAAGGATACTCCCTGCTGGCTCACCAAGCTCCATCTCCTGTAGGAGCTGTGGTACCCAGTGGCCACTGCGTGACTCATCCTGTCTCTCTTCTACTTGAGAGATTTAAAACAATATTATCATGAGAATTTACGAATTTCTATCCAAGTACAGTAATTCTTTCAAATGAATGTGTAAGTGTTGTGTAGATTAACTCCTGTGAGCTGGTGCTGTGGTTATGTGTGATGCGAATTTTTCACCAGATCCATGACTACAAAGAAGGGACTCCAGAAGAGAAGACCTTTTACATAGAGCTGTGGGATGTTGGAGGTTCAGTCGGTAGTGCCACTAGTGTTAAAAGCACACGAGCAGTGTTTTATAACTTGCTGAATGGTAAGTTTGCTTGGTGTAAATCTGGTTTTGTCACTGTTTCTGTTATAAGCTGTCTCTTGGTTCTGGGACAGGTTTCCTTTAAGTCTGGCCGAGGGCTGTATTGTTCTCTGTTCTGATTCCAGTACATTTATATGGGAAAAAAAAATATACCATTTATAGGCAGAATTTTATGGATTCAGTTTTGAACTGGAAAGCTATTTTAGGCCAGCCTGTGCAGATGAGCTTTCATCAGCCTTTCACTTCAGTCTTGTGCAGCTGGCACAACAGGGAGTCTTTGAAGTTACAGTGATGTCCCTTGCAGCTGCACTTGCAGACATAAAGGTTGCCTTCACCTTTCTGAGCCTGATACACACGCAGAAGTACGATTTATATTTTCTTGTCTCTTTGGTTCCAATACCTACAGCAGGGAAATAATTGTCTGAATTTATATGAATGGTGATAGTTATATTCTACCCTGGCAGATTTGAACTGTTCTCCCATAAAATTGCAATATGCTGATAACTGTCTCGCCTCTGCTCGTTTAGTTTGCCAAGTTATTTTTAATAATTGAATCTTGCAACATGCTGTAGATAGAAAGTGGTATTTTATGCCTTCTGTTGAGACAGAAGACTTAAAGGCCTCGCAGTTCATCTGTACCACTAATAAGAGCAAATAAGAGGTTGTAAGCTTAATAATGCAGTATTTTGGTTGTTACTTTTTGACATCCAAGGATAGTTCACTAAAAGTGGATGTTTTACCAGATTAACATCTGCTTCTGAAAATCTGTCTCAAATGTTCTATTTGATTCTCATTTCTTGTTCTCAACCGTTTGAGGGCTTTTCAATATCACCAATAAAGCCATAAAATAAACATTTTTCCTCTGTGATTATTTAAGGAGTTATTTCTTCCTCCTTTCCCAGGAGAAAAACTGTGTGTAGGTACCTCTGGCTTATATTGTTAACCAGACCTCTGTAAATAAGGTTTGAGTTGAGATGTGCCCTCAAAGCAAGCCTTTTTGCATGAAAAAAAATTATTTTTTTGACACCAGATCCACATTGCGCCAGTGAGTGTGGGTCAGACTTGGAAATATCCTAGAACAGCCCATTAGGAGATGAAATCTTGAATTTATATGTCTGAATGATAATTGATGTTATTAAAACAGAGCTATTTATCTCCACTGCCTGAAAGAGATTAGGTAGCTCACATATGAAAACTGTTGACTTTAGTAATTAGCCTTGGCTCTGGTTTCTTTCATTAGATTAATTTCTTCATTAAAGCTTGTCTCACAAATTGCCTCTGTTTGACCTGATATAAGAAGAGAAGATGAATGCGTTCCTTCTGCATCACTACTTGTGCTTTCTGGGCTTGGAAGTTGTCTGAAAACCTGAGATCTAGAGACAGCTGATGTTCGGTTGTGTCAGTGCCTGTGCAGGCTGTAAGGGAGACCTGGCTGTTGACTGGGTTGGGTATGGTTTGCTTTTGGTTTGACCGCAGATGATCTGCTTTGGTGTCCCTGCAGCTGGTGTGTGGACTGTGATAGTCTAGGGCAGTGAGTAGGCAGTAAGGCCGTGGCTTGCAGACCTTGATGTGGGAGGAACATTTCCTTGAGTAGCCATTGATCCTGCCTGCTCTTCTTTGATGTTGACAGAGTCTTCTGCTGGTGCAACGAGCTGTGTAGGTTTTTGGTGAAGCAGATAAGGGAACTGACCAATCGAAAATATAACTGAGGAAGAGC